CCGTTTTTCCTCCCCTTTCTTTTTCGTTTTCGTTTTCTTTTCCGTTTTTTTTTTTTTTTTTTTTCCCTACCCCCTCCCCAACGCGGGCCGAGATGTCTCTGCCACATCCGAGGGGCGATATATATATATAAGTCTATAATATATAGATTATGATATCTATCTAATATGTCTCTATTGTAAAATCATTAAAAAAAAAAGCATCTGGTTGTTGTCTGGCGGGGCCACGGCTGAGATGTCTCGGCCACGCATGAAGTGGGGGGCGCCCGGGGGGTGGGGGGCGGGGGGGGCGCCGCCGGGGGGAACAAAAAAAAAAAAAAAAAAAAAAGGGGCCACGTGCCTGACTGAACTGCTAAAAAGGCCAGCCCGAGTTTCAACTGCATTTGAAACTTGGGCCCTCACTAAACTGCTAAAACATAAGGCCTCCCTGCACTACTCTCGAAATGCACAAAAGACAAAATTCATCGTGGTGTATTTTTCCATCTTCTAGCAGAAGATTCACTCTCGTTTTGCACATTTCGAGAGTAGTGGAGCGAGGCCCATAGTTTGAAATGCAATTACAACTGAAGGAAGTTCTTTCTCTTTGTTCTGTGGTTGGTCCTTCAAATATGAGCGCCAGCTTTTCTAAAAGAGGTAGAGCGCCTAGGGGGGGGGGGCAAAGGGCATGCCCCGGTCTGCAGCCATGTGAATAACTGGAGATGCAGGGCTCATAAATAGGTTTGCAGATCATTGGAAGCACGTAATCTATGCTCGCACTGTGGTTGCGGGGCAGTTTTCTCCTTTAAATTTTCTTTTCTGTGCTTTGGCCAATAATTTTATCTTGTCCTTGGGGACATCCGTTAAAATTGGAACGATACAGACAAGATTAGCATGGCCCCTGCGCAAGAATGACACGCATCAATCGAGAAATGGTCCAAATTTTTTATTAATTATAATTTTATCTTGGTTAGGTGAGCCATGGAGTGATCTGTTGGTCCTTGGCAAATTTTGTGTTTTCAGATTGAGGTAGGTGAACTAAGTCCGAAGCTGGGTAATGATTCCAGTAATTTTTTCGGGTTCCATGTGAGGGATAATTGCTAGAAAGAGCCCAGGGCAAAACCTTTTCTGTTTTGGCCGCCCAAAGTTCGGCCGTTTGGTACTACCGGCCCAAACAACTTTGCCCTGGGTGAAAGGGCGCCTTCGCGCCGTGGCCACATCTCCCTGGGCCTGTTTTTACCGGTTCAAGAATTTGGTGCTGTTTCTGGGCCAGATTCATGAACCGGTAGGACCCTTCTTTTTCAAAATCGCGTAAGTGGGCCTCATTCGATATTTCAGCGTGACCATCCCCGGCCTCTTTTACATCAAAATGAATCTGGCTCTGTATGCGCCAGATTCATGATCCGGTACATGATCCGGTAGGACCCTTGGAGCGACGCGTGGGCCTGTAGTACCCCACATGCAAGTCATTGGGCAGGTAGTACCAAACCGCTAAAATTCGGGCGGCCAAAACCGAAGAGGTTTTGGCGTGGGCTCCTTCTACCTATTATCCCTTTATTTGAGGTGCCCAGCCTCTGCATAAAAGCTGATTTGTAGAAGGAAAAAAGGAGGGGGAAATTGTTGAAATACCCCTAAAAGTTTGGATATTTTGTTAGATACACCAAGAACACTGGGGTATGCTGAAATGCCCCAAACTTCTGCATCTGCCCCCTTCCCACTCATCGGCAACTTTGCCATATGCCCTGGCACTGGGCTGCAGCGGGCCATGCATTTCTTTTTGGCCATCCCCAGGGTCCAAGGGGCAGAAATACTAGGGCATATAGACAAGTTTTCCAGGGCCCGGTAGGGTTATATGCAAAAGATGACAGGTCCAATTGGGGAGTGGGGTATTTCGCAAAGTTGCACTACTGTCATAGGGGCATTTCACCATACCCATGCCTTTTAGGGTTATCCAACGAAACACCACAACTTTCAGGGGCATTTCAACAATTTTTTACCAAAAAAAAAAGAAAAGAAAAGAAAAGAAAAGGAAAATGGAAGCCAGCTAATTATTCCAGTTATTGTTTTGGGGTTTTATCCGAGGTGCCCCCCATATCAATTGCTTCGTGGAAAGAAAGAAAAAAGAAAAAGGAAAAGCAAAGTGCTGGTGATTTGCATCGGAAGCTTTTCCAAAGCTGTCTGATGACGGCTAGGTTCCAGATCCAATTCCATGCAATAGCACTAGGATGTGTGGATGAAAAAAAAAAAAAAAAGAAAAAAAAAAAAAGAAGGGAAAAGGCCATCTAGCTATCAAGCAGCATATGGACCTTGTTTTTCCCCCTTTTTTGTGGGTAAATTAAATGACAATTCCTGCATGAGGGCATGGTTCCACTTGGGGGGGCCATGTCCCACCTAAGGTTGAGTTTTCAACCACGCGTTGTGTGACTGCTAATATCAGCAAGAAAGCTGTGCAAGTCGCCTTTTTTTTTAGGGGCAACTAGGGCGCAGTCACGTTTTGAGTTCAACATCCACTTCAGGCATCCCTCGAATACAACACATCCCCACCCAACCCTAAAGCTGGGTTGCATACATTCATGATTTTCCTCCGTTTGGAGCAAAATTCATGAAACCGTGACTGAAACGCATTTAAAACTGAAAACCTTGACTGCACCCTAGTTTTCCCTTTTTTTTAAACAATAGCGGGCTCAGTACCCAAGGCTTAGGGTCGTATTTCACTTCTTGCAAAACTCAGAGGAAGCTATAAGAACCGGTTTTAAGGCGTCCCTTGCAGAAATGTCTGAAAGCCGCCTCTTGCACGAAATGAACGGCGGACAATTGTGGGCGGTGTCGATGAGTTTGGACCTTTGAACGGCCACTCGGACCAGATGTCACACACCGTTGCGTACCTTTGACATTGCATGAAAGCCTTTGTGTTCATGGGAACAATCAGAAGAAGGAAAAAGAAAACGAAAAACCGCGCCTTGTTTTCCGCTACACAAGACAGGGGTGGCCTCTTCCATTTTTTGAAAGATGTACGACAACGCCAACTGCGGATGTCACACCACGTCCACCAACGTTTCCACATCCCCGATGATGCAGGGCGGCCGCCGAATTGTCGGGAAAGAAGTCCGATCCCGTTKTTGGGCAAAAACTACATGCCGAACAAGAAGTGGGATATGACCCATTTATTTCCAAAATAAACAACTGAGGCCGGGGTCCTCACAGTCTACCCAGAAAAGGAAARCATTTTCAATTGTATTTCCCTCAAAGCACTAGTAMCTTTGGCKTCCCGTTTTGACAAGTACTCGCCAGCTCCCGAACTTTCAGGAGGCCRAGCCCGACATTGATCAATCGGATTGGCGGCCKTCGTTTCGTTTCGGCCTCCTGCCTCCTGAAAGTTCGGAGGCCGAGTATTTTCGAACCGACAAAGGTACTAGTGGTTCAATGAAAACTAACAATATATGGGCAAATCTCCGTTAGAACGCCCYCTAACCTCTCCCTTTTCCRTGGAASTACCGTCTTCACCCGAATAGAACACCCGGTCATTATAGCTGTATTTGGTTCAGCCCAGATACGGCGATAATTACGGGGCGTTCTATTCGGGTGAAGACGGTAGCTCACCCAGTCCATGTGGGTGAGCCAGTTCTGTGGAGATGGAGTCRTCATTACATCCTCGTRGGAGAACACTATGATSGATGTGGGAGGGAACTCTGACAGAAGTGGGAGGACACTCTGACAGAACTGGAAGAACACTTTTGCGGACACTGGGTTCCTTTATTGGAGAGGTGAATGCACAGAGCCAGGAATACTGTCCAAGTTCTTTTGATGCTGCAGTGAGGTCACTTTCTGCAGTACACAGGGCATTGCATCTATAAAGGAAATTTTCACTCACGGATATTTTGTTTCTTCCATTTTACTCTGGGGCTGATCCTACTTCTCTTCTTTTTGGGAAGAACCAAAAAGAACCGCCTTGGCCAGGCCCACCACCTGAGGAACGGAAAAGTGATTTCGGATCCCACTTGGCCGACAATAGCGGGAGTTGTACGATTTTGGCAACGGCCCAAGGGGAAAGGAACATGCTGTCACACAGACGAAAGGACCACGTAGCCCACCAGATATTGAAGAAAAAAAAAAAAATGTCGGCCTTCTTTTTAGGAGCAGGGAAGGCCATCCTCTTCTTTTTGTTTTTTGTAGAACCACTGCAGCGTAAGTCGTGGACAAACTGCCACATAGAGATTTGTTTCCACTCCCCTCCGAGACTGACGGGGAGACCTGAGAAAGCGGGAAGAAGTAAGATCCCAAAAAATGTCACTTCTCCCCAAAAAGAAGAGTAGTCGGATCAGCGTCTTTTTTTTAAGTATGGACAAAAGAGCTCAGTACCATTTCTTTCTCGATTTTATTTATTGCGAAATATGAAAAAAGGCTTTTTAGCAGCATTTGTTTCTCTTTTTGCACTTGTTTTCAAATTTTACCTCGG